GACTCTTTAGCGTTTCTGTTATTATTAACACTGCTGCTTTAGTTGTTCTGATTGCTAAAATCCTCTGTTATTCCTAATTTTAAAGCCGTGGGGTGGGGCTCGGATCCTTCTCACCTTTTTCATACCTGATGAGTTTGCATCCCTGACTTCAGTTGTTTTAGCATGTAGAAGCTAGTAAGCCTACTATTTGATTTGTTTTAGATAGGCACAACATGTTTCATATGCTTGCTGGCCTTATTTTCCTGTTCCATGTTAAAATAAACCATTTTCAGTACCGCTGAGAAAGAGTCATTTTTTTCGGTCATGGAAAATTAGGTAAAGATCATGGAGAAGTCATTGAAAATCATTGGTAAAAAAGTGTATGAACCCTGAAATATATTTATAAAAATAAATACATTGAATAATATGCCATTTAATGTACTGATTTAAATATTAACCATAAATGTAGGCACTAGTTGATTAAATGTGACATAATTTATTCACCTTTTCTTTTTAAATGTGTAAAAAGGAAATAAAAAAAAATTCTTTGGATTAATTCAATTTGCAGGAGAATAATTCATAAAAAAATCAATGAATAAATATGTTCAATAATAAATAAATAAAAAATCTAAAATCTTACTTGATAAATAATAGGGGAACTAGTACACAGGTCATAAAGTAATTAAAACATTAATATAAATGAATGTAAAATCTCATCAATCAATTATTGCCAACATGTATTTATAATATATTCTTTATATACAGTGGGGCAAAAAAGTATTTAGTCAGCCACCAATTGTGCAAGTTCTCCCACTTAAAAAGATGAGAGAGGCCTGTAATTTTCATCCTAGGTACACTTCAACTCTGAGAGACAGAATGGGGGGAAAGAATCCAGGAAATCACATTGTAGGATTTTTTTATGAATTAATTGGTAAATTCCTCGGTAAAATAAGTATTTGGTCACCTACAAACAAACAAGATTTCTGGCTCTCACAGACCTGTAATTTCTTCTTTAAGAGCCTCCTCTGTCCTCCACGCGATAACTGTATTAATGGCACCTGTTTGAACTCGTTATCAGTATAAAAGACACCTGTCCACAACCTCAAACAGTCACACTCCACTATGGCCAAGACCAAAGAGCTGTCAAGGACACCAGGAACAAAATTGTAGACCTGCACCAGGCTGGGAAGACTGAATCTGTATCTGGAATCTGTAAGCAGCTTGGTGTGAAGAAATCAACTGTGGGAGCAATTATTCGAAAATGGAAGACATACAAGACCACTGATAATCTCCCTCGATCCCCCAAGATCTCACCCCGTGGGGTCAAAATGATCACAAGAACGGTGAGCAAAAATCCCAGAACCACACGGGGGGACCGATTCAATGACCTGCAGAGAGCTGGGACCAAAGTAACAAAGGCTACCATCAGTAACACACTACGCCGCCAGGGACTCAAATCCTGCAGTGCCAGACGTGTCCCCCTGCTTAAGCCAGTACATGTCCAGGCCCGTCTGAAGTTTGCTAGAGAGCATTTAGATGATCCAGAAGAGGATTGGGAGAATGTCATATGGTCAGATGAAACCAAAATAGAACTTTTTGGTAAAAACTCAACTAGACGTGTTTGGAGGAGAAAGAATGCTGAGTTGCATCCAAAGAACACCATACCTACTGTGAAACATGGGGGTGGAAACATCATGCTTTGGGGCTGTTTTTCTGCAAAGGGACCAGGACGACTGATCCGTGTAAAGGAAAGAATGAATGGGGCCATGTATCGTGAGATTTTGAGTGACAACCTCCTTCCATCAGCAAGGGCATTGAAGATGAAAGTGTCTGGGTCTTTCAGCATGACAATGATCCCAAACACACCGCCCGGGCAACGAAGGAGTGGCTTCGTAAGAAGCATTTCAAGGTCCTGGAGTGGCCTAGCCAGTCTCCAGATCTCAACCCCATAGAAAATCTTTGGAGGGAGTTGAAAGTCCGTGTTGCCCAGCGACAGCCCCAAAACATCACTGCTCTAGAGGAGATCTGCATGGAGGAATGGGCCAAAATACCAGCAACAGTGTGTGAAAACCTTGTGAAGACTTACAGAAAACGTTTGACCTCTGTCATTGCCAACAAAGGGTATATAACAAAGTATTGAGATGAACTTTTGTTATTTGTTGCGTTCACACCAAAAAGAGCCGGAACTAAAATTAGTTCATGAGAACCTTTTCACCCCCTTTTCCATCCCTGCTAGAGAGCAGGGACTTTCGTGGGAGAAAAAGGTTCCTATGTCTGATTGGCAGGGCGGATTGCAAACCACGCCCCGTAAAACTCCCAAAAAGCCGCCATTTTATTATCCTCGCATTAGCATTAGCCCAGCGCAGAAACGCAGAGAGATTCTTATGGCAACACAAAATAAAACATGGGAGCGGTGGAGATGAGGAGGTGTCGGCGTTCTGGCGATTTACTCAGAAGGCTTCAGTAGAAGCTGCTGGGACTCCCAGCAGCTTCTACTGAAGCTAGTCCCCAACTTCGGGGTCTTCCGGCCGGGGACTTTGGGCGGCAGTATACGCCGTGAAGTGGTTTGCGGCCTGCCAGTAAACCCAAAGCAGAAGAAGAAGAAGTGACGTCAGCGGCTTCATTTGCCTAATCCTCCCCCAAGGACTAATCCGGTGTGAACGCGATCTGTACATAGTTCATGAGAACTCATGAACTAAGTTCTGATGAACCTTTGTGGGAAAAGTACTGCGGTGTGAATGCGCCTATTGACCAAATCCTTATTTTCCACCATAATTTGCAAATAAATTCTTTAAAAATCCGACAATGTGATTTTCTGGAAAAAAATGTTTTTCTCATTTTGTCTCTCATAGTTGAGGTATACCTAGGATGAAAATTACAGGCCTCTCATCTTTTTAAGTGGGAGAACTTGCACAATTGGTGGCTGACTAAATACTTTTTTGCCCCACTGTATATGTCGGCGAAACTTCTGAAGCAATTGGAGACGGGACTCAGAGAGACACGAGGAGGAGAGCTGGAGCTTTGATGGCAAACTGACAGTTTATTTGGAGCTTTGGCCGGAGAATTCACAAGACATGTCACGGGCCACAATCTGACCACACGGTTGAGATGCCAAACCAATTCTGAAGAACTCTTCTGTAGTTCCAGGTTTTAACTAGTTCGGAGTGTAATAATCAACATTCTTTATCAGCGAGACTAAACAAATACAGACCCTGAATCTAACTAGAGCTCTGGTACATAGAAAATAATGTGCGCCAGGGAACCTACGTTCCAGATAAAAGAAAGGCCTCTAGATGACCCTGAATAATAAACTATCTCATGTCAGCTTGTGCTCGGTGATAAGCTGGCAACAACAATGCGCCAAGCTGGCCCTCGCCGTAGAACTATGCCATGGGAAAAGAGACAGTGAGAAGAGAAAACTATTAACTGTGTCGAAGGTTGAATACCTAAGCAAATGATTCCCTAACAAAATATATATATATACACAGAATATATATTTTGAGAGAGATTATACACTAGTATTAGACGCAGTCAAAAGTTTGGACAAATCTCAAGTTTTTTATTTATTTAAATTGGTTCTACATTGTAGATTTATACTGACGACATCAAAACTATAAAAAAACACATATGGAATTGTCTAGTAAACAAAAAAGTGTTAAAGAAATCCAGAATACGATTTATATTTTGCAGGCTACTGCAGAATGCTGCGGTAGCCATGCTGGTTCAGTGTGCCTTGAATTCCCCCCCCACCCCCCACCATCTCACTTCCTCCTCTTGTTGTTCATCCTCAGTAGTGGATCTTTGCAGCAATTGGACCATGAAGGCCTGATTCACACAGTCTCCTCTGAACAGTGGATGTTAAGATTGTCTGCTCCTTGAGCTCTGTGATAATTGATGTGGGCTCTAATCTGAGGTGCTTTCATTTGCGGTTTCTGAGGCTGGTAACTCGTGTATTTATCCTCTGCAGCAGAGGTAACTCTTGCTCTTCCTTTCCCGGGGAGTTCCTCATGAGAGCCAGTTTCATCATAGCGTTCGTTGGTTTTTACGACTGCACTTGAGGATACATTCAAAGTTCTTGACATTTTCTGGATCGACTGGCCTTCATTTCTTAAAGTGATGATGGACGGCCGTTTCTCTTTACTGAGTTGAGTGGTTCTTGCCATAATATGGATTACAACAGCAGTCAAATAGGGATTTCCACTGTGTACCTCTGCACAACACAACTGATGGTCTCAAACACATTAAGAAGGCAAGTAATTCCACAAATTGACTCTTGACAAGACACACGTGTTAATTGAAAACCATTCCAGGTGACGACCTCATGAAGCAAACTGAGAGAAGCTCAGTGTGCAAAGCTGTCATCAAGTCAGAAGAGGGCTACTTTGAAGAATCTAGAATAAAAATCATATTCTTGATTTTTTTTTTAACACGTTTTTGTTAACTAAATAATTCCATATGTGTTCTTTCATAGTTTTGATGTCTTCAGTATTAATCTACAAAGTAGAAACAAATTAAAATCAACAAACCATTGAATGAGAAGGTGTCCAAACTTTTGACTGGTACTGTATATAAAAAAACACACATATTTTAATATTTAGCAGGTTCCCTCATCTATAATCATTTATACAAGCGCTACTTTAAACATGTACAGCAGTAAAATGCTGCATACAAAATAATGAAACACTGACAGGGAACATTTTACTGCACCATCATTACTTTTACATAAGAAGGTGCCATAAAATGTTTGGATAATACTTGCATACTTTTACTTAAATGAGGTTTGATTGCAGGATTTTAATTTGTAAAAGAGTATTTTCATTCTATACTGTAGGCGTAGTGTATCTGTGAACGATCCCAAATACAATTCATTGTTTACATTGCAGCTAGTGCTAAACCAGAAGAAAAACCCCTTTTTCATTTTTAACTGGAACTGGAACTGGAAGTGGAAAGGGGCTGGGCTACATAAGGTGAATTGAGCCAACAAAATTAGACATGTTTTGTGTGTTTCCTGTTCCCTGCAGACGTCAAGCAGCTGGTGGTGGTTAAAGAAGAGCTTCTCCATGACCAGCAGGCGTGGAGCACCAGTCTGGACCAGGAGGACCCAGAGCCCCCCCCACACATTAAGCAGGAACCGGAGGAACTCAGGATCAGTCCGGAAGGAGAGCAGCTTCAGGACCAGGAGGAGGCTGATATCACCAAGTCCACTTTCACTCCTGACGCTGTGAAGAGTGAAGATGATAAAGAGAAACCTCAGTCCCCACAGCCTCATCAAAGACAAACTGAACACATGGAAACAGAAGCTGATGGAGATGACTGTCGAGGACCAGAACCAGCCAGTAACTCGGATCCAGAGAGCAGTTTACAACCAAAGATTGAGGGTGACACTGGAGACTGTTCTGAACCTGACACTGGAGACTGTTCTGAACCTGACACTGGAGACTGTTCTGAACCTGACACTGGAGACTGTTCTGAACCTGACACTGAAGACTGTGCTGATTGGAAAGAGACCAGAGAACCTGCCTCAGTCTCAAACTCAATGAAAAATAGACATGAATCTGTCAGTGATCAACGACGTAGTAATGAAAAGAAACAATTTGGGTGCTCCGTTTGTACGAAATATTTTGCACGGAAAGGAGATATTATGAAACACATGATAATCCACACAGGAGAGAAACCACACAGCTGCTCAGTCTGTAAGAAAGCTTTTTCACAGAGTGGACATTTAACTGGACACATGAGAATCCACACAGGAGAGAAACCACACAGCTGCTCAGTCTGTAAGAAAGCTTTTTCACAGAGTGGAGGTTTAAAGGACCACATGCGAGTCCACACAGGAGAGAAACCTCACAGCTGCTCAGTCTGTAAGAAAGCTTTTTCATATAATATAAGTGCAAAGGTACACATGAGAATTCACACAGGAGAGAAACCATACAGCTGCTCAGTCTGTAAGAAATCCTTTTCAGAGAGTGGCGGTTTTAAACAACACATGAGAATCCACACAGGAGAAAAACCATACACCTGCTCAGTCTGTAAGAAAGCTTTTTCACAGAGTGCACATTTAAAGGGACACATGAGAACCCACACAGGAGAGAAACCATACAGCTGCTCAGTCTGTAAGAAAGCTTTTTCATATAGTGGACATTTAAAGAGACACATGAGAGTCCACACAAGAGAGGAAATATACAGCTGCAATGTTTGTGACAAAAGATTTAAATGCCTTAGTGATTTGAAAAGACACAAGTGTGTTGGTCGTCAGTCCTCACGGCTTAATGCAATTCAAACTGAGGATAACAGAGAGGCAGATCCTCCAATCAGCAGCTCAGCTGAACACATGGCTGCAGAAGCTGATGGAGGACAATGAATAAGTCTTAAATATGACAGTTCACACGTGAACAAATCTGTCTGACTGGATAAACATTGTTGCACAACATTCATATAAGACTTAAATTAACTCCATCTTTATCAACATGGGTGGACAATATGTTTAATGTTTTTGTCATACTGATTTTCTGATGTATAGGTTAACCACTGGCTGTTGATGAACCATTTTATTTTTGGATTGAGGGCTCCAAGTTTCCATGTAGAGATATAGGATGATTTGATGTATTGTTCTTCATTTCTAAATGTTTTGTATCTTTGCTCTCCTGTTAATGAGCTCTGATTTACATAAATGTAGCTGTTATCTGATTGTTGATTGATTAATAAACACAAGTTGGAGTCTGTCAGGACCGAGGGTCGGAGCAGCTCATTTGCTTTATAGAATATTACACCCGGAAGTAAGTATTCTCTCCGCTTCGCTTGACAAACCCCGTGATAGTCCTCAAGCTCTGTGATTGGATGTTTGAGTGTGCTCCGAGGGTTACGCAGAGCGTCGAACAGCACTTGAAATGGGGTGGAACCATGGCAGACTGTCCAAAACTGGATTTGAACGGGTCCACCCCGTCCCCGTCTCCCCCACCCCGTCCCCAGAATTACAGATGCTGGCTATTGTGTTTCGCAACATGTTCTCTATGGCACGTTTCTACTGGGAATTGTAGTTTTAAAAGACGTTTTCGTATTTCTCATTATAAGAAGCTGCCAGTATTAAACTGTATACATCCCTGGAGGTTTAGGGGATAGGAAACACTCAAATTTAAAACATATACTTAATAAATGGGTGAAAATTGCTTCTGCCTATAATGGGCAGCATTAATATATACCCACATGCCAGCTAAGGTCAGAAGAGCTTTATTTAACAGCTGGTCTTATGTCTGTGACCCCTCCTGTTGTTAATTGATAAGCCTGAAACATGCACTTGTCAAGGTTCAGAGGCAAATTTTGCAAAAATGGCAGTAGCCATCGATCATCTTAAGATAAGATATACTTTATTGATCCCAAGTTGGAAACATTTGCGTTACATCAGCATGTGTAACAGTTGTAAATATGCAGTGGCGTTTATTTGTAAATCATTTAGTATTGTAGCGACAGCAGGAAACAAAGTCGCTGAGATGCTGAGGGAGGCCGGGCCTGTTTGAAGTATATGACACGCTAAAAAAAGTACTTGCTGAGATCAAAAGCTCTGTTTCATAGTATTGTAATTTAATCACAAAAAACTCGGTGATCAGACATATAGGCCTACATTGTTATAATAATCAAAGCAATATTAACTCTTGCGGTCAACAAAAAAGTACAACAGACCTGTGTCACCCTCTCTTCCACACACCCACACCTCACGCAGGTGAACAGGATTATAATGAGTGCCACCCATACCCATGTGACCCAAGCCAACCAATCAATAGTGATCATGGCTCCTACACACCAGCCTCTAATTATTAGGATAGTATACATAATAATTACTAAAATTATTCAAATGGGAGACATGTGACAATTATAACTTGGTAATCAAGTCCATGCAGTTGCAGTTCATGTATGTGTAGCTTTCCTTCTTCTTTTCTGTGTACGAGTCACAAGTCAGTTAGGCCAAAAGGTACCACCACCTAGGCTCAGTCAAAGATAATCCTTATTGTCATTTAAGTCTGTCGGTCGAAAAGAGTCAATACTGTGGAAAAGATGTCACTGATGTTGGATGTTCTTCCGTCTCTTCCTGCTGTTTCTGCATCTTCTCCACGATATTCTCGCTTTGATCGCCCCACTCCTTTAACGAGGTTCGCAGCATGTCGGCGTCGTCTTTGACTCCGAGTCCTTCGGCCTTGTAGAGCACGTTGGTCCACCTCATCCTGTTCTCCATTTCTTTGTTTGCAGCGGGGCCTTTCTGAGCAGCCGTTGAAGGAGAGGGTTTTTGTTGGGATTTGAGATGAGGCTTCTTCTCATCTTTAAAACGTTTCCTTTTACACTTCTTCTTTGACTCCTGCTGAAAAAACACTCTCTTCGCAAACTTCTTAAACTTGACATCCTCTCTTGACATTCCAGCTTGTTCCTCCAATCTGCATTCAGGGAAGTCTGCGCTGAACTGCTGGTGCCAAGGTCCATCCAAATTCACAACTGAGATTCTGTTCACAGATACTTCTGGTTTGTCAAATTCCATTGCATTCCCACTCTCTCCTTTAAGTGGTCCATTCACTGTCCAGCCTAGCATTGTCCTGCTTGCATAGGGTCCGTCATCCACACTGCGTATGACTTCCAATGGTTCCAAGGCCTTAGGAACATTGGTTCCTATCAACAGTCCAATCCCTGCATTTATTTCAGGCAAATTAACATTTTCAGATGAGGCCATCTCTGTAGGTCCGCTTGTCTAGGAATGTTCCCACTGCTGGCAGGCATGCACTCTTGGGTGTAGCTTTGTGGCAGTTCAAAGAAATTGTCATTTTTTAATGAAAAAATTCACATCATTGGATGTGAAGTATGGTTGGATGTTTGAAGCCACATTTTGAACAGGAAATTCGTTTATTGCAATTTCTGCTAATGTGCCCCACGCACAAACAGCCGAAACAGACACCTTTTTCCATCAAGAAGCCGATCTTCTCTTTGTGTGTTCCTTTTTCAAGCTGAAGGCACGAGTCTAAGGTGTGACCTCCTCCGCAGCACAGACATGTCCTCCATCTTGTCAGAATGTGTTCTTTCCATTCAGTATCAGTCTGGGTTTCATTTTCTACAAGAGCTACAGTGGTGGCAAAGCTAGTTCCTACAAAATGTGAGCGAGGCTGTGATCTGTTTAAAGCAGTATTTGTTGTTATGAAGGGAGCATCTTGAATGTTTCCAAATACTGGGTCAGTTAAGATTTTAACTTGTCTCTCAATGAAGTGTGTGATGTCAAAGAATGTTGCTCTGCGGCTGTTCCTCTCCTGCAGCTCACAGGCTAAAGTTCTCCACTTGTCTCTGAATTGGTAAGGTAACTTTCGTATTATGATCATCATATTCGCAGCCATGTCAAGTTCATGGAAATACTGCACCTCTTCCATTGCGTTTGCACATGCTCTAAGGAAGAAACTGTAGTCTTGCAGAGCCTTAACATCTTCTGTTCTTATAGGAGGCCATGAAAGAGCCTTTTGCAAATATGCAGATGCCACTTTCTGCTCATTTCCAAACTGCTCCTGGATTAGAGCTTTAGCCTTGACGGGTATTTTAACGGGTCGCCATCAAAAGCTGGAATCTCTCTCTTTGGCCAGGATGAAAGGCATTGCTGTTAGTAGTAGTAATGATGCTGCTTTCGTCTCATTAGTATGCATAAAAAGTGACAAGTGGACACGCCCCCAACTATGCAAATGAGCTAAGTCCCGCCTCCCATTGTTCGAGATCCTTTGATGTGGGGGTGAGGGGTCATCACACGTAGGGGTGAAATGCCCCCCTGTGTAGCGCCTTTGTTCGAGATCCTTTTGATGTGTGTTATGTGAAAAGCCCCCTGGCTAGCGCCTTTGTTGTCTAATTCTTTGATGTGTTGATTAAGTCTCTTTGAAGTTGTATTGTATGGCCCCCCCTCAGAGCCCTTTGTAGTCTAATTATTTGATGTGTTGATTAAGGCAGACTCTTTTAAGTTATGATGTCTAATCTAATTATGATGTCTAATCTAATTAGCCTTTGGTGTTTGCCCTTTGATGTGAGGTGTTATAACAGGCCGGTGTGACTTCACACTGGTGTGCTATAAACCTTTGATGTTAATCTAGGTGTCTCTTTGCAGTTATGTGTGAGACTGTCATGTGTGTTGGAGGAGGGGCTCTGTGAGGAAGTGGCAGATTTTCCCCCGGTTGTGTACTTTTCAAATTCTAGCTCACTCGAGCTGGTTTCTCCAAAAATGACCTACCCCCCTACCTTTAAGAACAATTAACACACACACACACACACACACACACACGTTGGAGCCCCCCCCCCCCCTTGATGTGGGGGTTGAGATAAGCCTGGGGTGTAAATAATTATGTTAATTAAGACACTCTCTGTGAGATGAGAAGAGAGGGATGAAGTTAGTTTTAAAAAAAAGAAATAAGCTCAAATTAAATAAAAACAGCCATTAATTTTCACTCACCAAGACATCTAAAAACGTTATTGTCCTCTAGATTTGATTCAAGTTTTGTTTTAAATGATGTGTGCTGGCTAAAGATGTTTCTTTTCAAGTTTTTGTGAAACTGTTAACTACAAGAAGTATCTGTTTGCAAAGAGGTTATTCATGTTATTTTCAAAAGATCTTATTTAGGTTTTAATAGTGATACCTAAGGATATTCTCTTTTAGTTGTATGGATTTGTGAACTAATGTGTAATTACTTTTATTAACTAGAGGAAAAGTCTCTCTGAAGAGGGAAATAATAAAACAATTTAAAAACATGATCTTTGTCTTTTTTTTAATATAATTACTTTACACACTATAAGGAAACCCAATATGAGGTTATGTGAGGTGGTAATATTATAATGTTGCTGTATTCATAAAAGAGAAGTTTTCTTTAAAATGTGTTTCTACTCCATTTCACTCCATGACGGCTCCAAGTGGCTGATCAGAACAAAAGAAAAGCTGTAAGAAGACGCATAGCTAGTTACCTGGATAAAAGGTCTCATCGATTGGTCAGTTTTTTGTAGGCCATGACATGGCACTGTTATTTGGGGTTTTATAAGGCGACATGATCTCTACAGCTGAAGAAAACCAGAGGTTGAATTATCCTACCATTCCAGCTCTGCGCTTTATTGACCTGGATGCCATCACAAAACAATGTGGTAAGTACTTATCTTATAATATCATGTAATTATTAAATGTTGTTTATATATATATATATATATATATATATATATATATATATATATATATATATATATATATTATGTGGATAGTATATTATTAGATACTTAAAAAAAATGTTGTGTTTTTTCTGTTTGCAGTAGAGACCTTGTATGATGAGAACCCTAATGTATGGGGTCATAGGATTATTGAAATACTAGGTGAGTTTCTGTTTTTTATTTTTATTTTACTTTTTAACATGTTTTTTTATTAGAAAAGTGTAAAGTAATATGGTGTAGATTCTAATCAAATCTTTTTGTGTGTCTCAGCTCAGGATACTCTGAGTCAGATAAGGCCGTTAGTATTGGAAATAATATGCTTTGTACTTGGAGCCTACCTTAATTCACCCCCTGTGGAAAGTGAGTATATTTAAACTAATTGTATTTTATTTTGAAATCAAATATGTTTTTTATGTGCAAAGTATCCCCGAATAACGTTTTTTTTTTTTACTCTTTTGTTAAAAAAAGGTGATGAAGTCTACAACACTGACGGAGGGTCTGTGTATCAAAACTTTTCCCCTGTGGAGTCCACACACAATCTACCCTTTGAGATAACAGCAGACCCCCTGAGGACAGCCGTCACCCTCCCCCGGGACACAGATAACCAGGCATACACCCTTTTCAACGCCCCCCTGCAACCGCTCGGATCTGAAACCTTCCTGCAAATTCCACCAGAACTGCAGGCCGATTTTGACACTTACAGTGCCTATCTGGATGACTTTGAGTTACAACCAGACATGCTCATATCGAGTCAGACAGACTCACCCCCTAGTCCTCAGGTCGAGGGTGAACTATCAGCACAGACTCTACGTGAGATTCAGGTCGATATAGCACTCCTCACAGATCCCCTCCTGACGAGATATCACCCCGGTAAATGAGTTTTATGGTTATTTTACAAGATGTTTGATAAATGAATAGTTGTTAAATGTATAATCATGTGTTTTTCAAATACTTAGCCTTCTTTTTCTCTGTCTTTTTTCTGTATAGATCAGTCAAGCTATTACCAGGAGGACCCCCACTGCTGTTATTGCCAACTTTATGGACACACCCACTGAATAAGCTGGAGGGTCTCATGTAAATTGATGCCGATGTAACCGACCGGTATGTTTCTTCAGCTGTAACAAATGTATTTCTGATTTGGTTTCATAAACGGTCAAACATGGATGATTTAGCAGATAGAGAAATTTCTTTTCTTCAGTCTATAAACGACATAAATGAACTAAGCAGTGATGAGGAATTCGTGTATGGAGATATGTCATTTCCTCAGTGTTCAGACAATATCAGTGAGTTAAACGACGAAGAACCTCCCATCTCATCACAAACAAACTCAAGCCATCTCACAACCTTAGATAGCGCTTTGGAATGGGTATTAGAATGCTATCAAGACTCTGACACTTACCCTGGTCTAGGGCTTTTAAATCAGCTCGCAGACGGAGTACGCCATCTGAATGGAGTAAATAGCATAGCTTCAACCATTGCGGAATCACCAGTTTCCACCGTGCAGAATGGTGGATATGCTAGGGACACGCCGAGTGACTCAGAATCGCCAGTTTGCTCCATGCAAAGTGGTGGACATGTTGATCAGAATGACACCCCGAATGCTTCAGAATCACCAGCCCCCTCGTTACAACATGGAGGGGGGGCTAACCGAAATGCCACACCAAGTGTTTTGTCTCGACCTGTATTCAATAACACAGAACTGCGTCAGTCTCTAGTCCTAACCCCTCCTAATGATGATGAAGCAGACTTTACATCCTATTATGAGGTTCTGATGAACAATGTACAAGATATGGTAAATGATGCTTTTTCACGGGCAGAGAGGGAAGATATTGTTCAGGTTGAGCTCCGGGGCGAGCAGCTACAGGCTAATGTGTCAGCCATTTTGAATGCTAATGATGATAATCTAGCTGATTTTGAGGAGGCCCTGTTCAATGCTGTACAGTCAAATTTGGAGGTAATGGCAGACAGTAACCTCGAGTTAGTGGTGCAAATTGTACAATCCCCCCGTGGTGGTGGTGCTAAAAGATTGGCTGGTAAAATGTTGGACAATGAGATTGTTAAAAAGAAGAGGCGTTTTCTGTACGTTGTACAGAATCCGTCCAACCTGCTGTGTTTTGCTATTAATTTAGCACTGTTGTTGTATGACAACCTCACTGATAAAGAAGGTTTTGAAGGTGGTAAAGATATTCAAAGGAGGGTGGGTTTGACAGATCAGACAGCTGTGACATTCAACGACATTGTTAAATTCGAAGAGTTTAAAATGCAAGATTGTGGTATTTTACAGAGGCGATGAAGATCGTACTCACTGTAAATTCCAGACAGAGGGTCCCAAACGAGACAAAACTGTGTTTTTGTTTCTCTTCAAAAACCACTACTATGGGATTAAAAACTTGAAGGGGTTTTTAGGCTCTGCATTTGTCTGTGAACATTGTTACACAGGCTACAGCTCTCAATGGCATCATTCCTGTACCGGTCATTGTTATGTCTGTCTTGACCCCTCATGTACTCTGGACGAGTTTAAACCCATCTTTTGTAAAGACTGTAACAAAACGTGTCGTACGGCTGGCTGTCACTCTCGACATAAAAAACAGACACAGAGATCATCAGACATTGCCAGTAACTGCGATTTACACAAAAAGTGTGTAGATTGTCAACTTTCCTACTACACTCCCAAGAGTAGTGCAGATAAAACACACAAGTGTGCGGTGAAAAAATGTAAGACATGCAAGGAAAAATTACCCTCTGCTTCTACAGCCGATGGTGAAAAACATCTGTGTTACATCGGAGTGTTGCCCAAAGAGACAGAACCCAATGACAACATTGTGTTTTATGATTTTGAAACAATGGCTGGGGCAGATGGTGTACATGTCCCCTTCCTGGTGTGCACAAAAACCCTTGCGGGTGAAATTTGGGTCTCGGAGGGCACCGACTGTGCACTGCAGTTTCTGGCACACTTTAGGCGTCCAAAGTTAAAAAATGCAACCTTCATCGCTCACAATGCTAAGGGTTTTGACAGCTATCTCATTATCAATGCAATGTTAGAGCAAGGGTTAAAACCCTCTTTGATAATGCAAGGAAGTAAAGTGACCTCTTTTACTGACCAGGATTTCGGACAAAAGTACATAGACTCACTGTCTTATCTCTCTATGCGTTTAGCAGCAATGCCAAAAGCTTTGGGATTTGAAGATAAAATCAAGGGATACTTCCCACACAGTTTCAGCTCTAAGGCTAATCTGAGTTATATCGGACCTTACCCCCCAGCACACTGTTATGGGATTGAACGCATGACAACTGATGAAAAAAGTGACTTTTTCACCTGGTATGAGACGGTACGCACGGGTACTTTTGATTTTCAAAAGCAGGCACTGCTTTACTGTAAAAACGATGTGGACATTCTTGCCCAGGGAGCCACTTTATTTCAAAAAGGGTTTCTCGCAGAGACAGGAGTTGTGCGACCATAGCTTCTGCGTGTATGAACGTTTTTACCACCAACTTTCTACCACCCAAAACCCTGGCAATACCCCCACCCGACGACTACCGCCGTGAAAACAAGACGTACTCGGACGCAGGTGTTCAATGGCTGGAGTGGATAGCCCAAACAGAAGGTGTATTTATTCAACATGCGTTGAACGAAGGAGAAAAACGAGTGGGACGTTTTGTCGTGGATGGTTTTGCCGAAGTAGCCGGGGGCAAGATTGTCTGGGAATTTCTTGGTTGCTTCTATCACGGGTGTCCATCTTGCTACAAGGGCCATGAGAAAAACCCCTTGACAGGTGGCACATTTGAGCAGCTCCATGCTGCTAGTGAGGAAAAGCTGCATGAGCTACAGTCTGTTCACGGGGCCAAAGTGATCGTTATGCGTGAGCATACATGGGTTGAGATGAAAAAATCCAACCAAGATTTACAGGCTTTCCTCAGGGAATACAAAGCGTCAGAACCATTGACCCCCCGCGATGCTCTATACGGGGGGAGGACATGTGCTGTAAAGCTGAGGCACACGACAGCGGCAGATGAATTGGTTCATTATTGTGATTTCACTTCACTCTACCCTTTTGTAAACTGTACAGGCCTATATCCCCTTGGACACCCCCAGCTCATATTCCGAGATTTCAAAGACCCTCGCAGTTATTTTGGGTTAATCAGAGCCACAGTAGACCCTCCCAGGGGTCTTTACTTTCCTGTCCTGCCCTACCGAACTGCAGCGGGTAAGCTAGTGTTCACCTTATGCCGTACATGCGCTGAGCTTAACAACCAACAGGGGCCCTGCAAAGAGGAAAGAGGCCCTGCAAAGAGGAAAGAGCATTAACAGGAGTTTGGGTGACCACAGAATTCACCAAAGCATGGACATGGGATACAAGATCAATCAATCAATGTTTATTTATATAGCCCAATATCACAAATGTTACATTTGTCTCAGTGGACTTTACAGTTCGTACAAAATATCAGTATGACAATACGAGATGACTCAGATCACAGAGGTGTGGCATTTTGAGAAGAAAAGTGACAGCATTTTTGTAGACTATATACACACATTTTTGAAAGGTAAACAAGAAGCATCAGGTTACCCTTCAGAGGCCACAGATGATGAGAGCAGACAAAAGTATGTGACAGACTATCATGCTAAGCAGGGTATCTTGCTGGATGCAGATAAAATCAAATCAAATCCAGCCAAAGACAAGTGGCAAAACTATGTCTCAACAGTTTCTGGGGTAAATTTGCCCAGAGAAACAACCTGACTCAGACTAAGATTGTGACCAAAACAGAAGAATTTCTTAACCTCTTGTTTTCAGCTAAACATAAGGTATTTCTCATTCCTCAACGACAGAACGGCTCTTGTTCAGTGGTGCTACGGTGAAAAATGCTATTCTCCTCCCAACAAGGTAGATAACATATTCATTGCAGCATTTACCACTGCGTATGCCAGGCTGAAACTGTACAGTGAATTGGAGAAATTACAGCACAGAGTCTTCTACTACGACACAGACAGTATCATCTATGTGACGAGACCGGGTGAGACTCCACTGCCCATGGGGGTTTATCTGGGGGATCTGACAGACGAACTGGGGGGCGACACAATTGCAGAGTTTGTTTCAGCAGGCCCTAAAAGTTATGCCTATCAGACTAAAAATCAAAAAAAGGTTGTGATGCGTGTGAAAGGCATTACACAAACGCACGAATGTTGTGAACGAGTGAACTTTGACAGTCTGACAGATCTGGTGGAAGGCTACGTTCAAAACTCTGAGAGGGGGAGGTGTCTTCAGGCCCAGCAACACAACATTGTACGGAATAAAGAGGGTTTCGTTTTGAGAAATGTGTCATTCACCAAAAAGTTCCGAGTTGTGTTTGATAAGAGACGTCTGCTAGACGGAGGAAATACTTTGCCTTTTGGGTATTGAGACAAAATGTTTTCACCCCGTCAAATTGATTTTGAGCCCCGACTACAAGTTCCTTTTTCTTGTTTAGTCGTGGGCCCCAGCGGGTGCGGAAAAACTTTTTTTGTCAAGAATGTATTGCAAAATTGTATTCATGTAATGGATGTGAAGCCTCAAAATATTGTGTGGATTTATACTTTTTTCCAGCCCATGTATGCTGAACTGCAGGAAAAGAATAAAAATATAAAGTTCATCAAAGATTTGCCTGAATCATTTCAAGATTAATCTCTATTTCCTCCTGATCAAAGTCATTTGATTATATTGGACGATGTTATATTTCAGGCCTCGGAGCATCCTGAAGTAGTCAGACTTTTCACCCAATACCATCATCACAGAAATATGAGCGTTATCATGCTTACCCAAAATGTTTTTCATCAGGGGAAAAACAGTCGTACCATTAGTTTGAATACTAATTACATGGTCTTGTTTAAAAACCCCAGAGACAGATTACAGATGAACATACTTGCTCAACAAATACACCCGGGTAATAAATCATTTTTCCTACAAAGTTTTGAAGACGCTACAACGGAACCTCACGGTTATTTAATCGTAGACATGACCCCCAGCTGTCCAGACATCTACAGACTTAGATCGGGAGCACTACCTAATCAGTGGCCAGTTGTTTATGTACCAAAAACGAAAACTTGAAACAGTATGTCGGCCCGTTTAAAAAGAAACATGCCTCTGCTGAAGGCTTTGTGTAACGCAAAGGCATCGAGGCGCAAGGATATTCTCAAGAACTGCTCCACGGATTTTCTTCAATCACTCTGTGAGGTGTCTCTAAATCTTTTAAAGGGTAACATTCCACTATCAGGCGCTCAGTATAAGAAGCTCAAGAAACAAAAGAAAATGTTCAAACTCTTGGCCGATAAAAAGACCAACTTAAAAACTAAATTCACGGCCTTAAGAAAACAATCTGGAGGTTTTCTTTTGCCGCTGCTTGGTGCTGTGATCCCCATTTTAGGACAACTTTTAGGAGGGCTCACTCGATCATGAGTCAAAAGATGTTTTTGTTATCATCTCACCAGTTTAATCAGCTCAATCAGACTGGTGTAACTAACCCCCATAGTAAGGAAACAATGAGACGCACTGCCGAAGATGTTCTGGATGAAAAAATGAGAGCAGTGTTAAACGAAACAGGATTACCCCCTTATGAAAAAATAAGAAAATACAATACCTTGTTACAGAGATATCTCACCTTACTCAAACAAGACGGGAATGAGGAACGACATATTACTTTAACTCTACCCGAAGACACAGGGTTGGTAAAAGGAGAAGAAAAGGATGGCACGTCCGATGATAAAATAAAGAACGAGGTACTTCATAATCTCCCTATGCGCAGCCGCAAGAATGCCGAGTACATTATGAGTAAATTAATCACGAGTAAAGCTGGATGGACACCAGCGGGGGAATTTGTAGAAAAGGGGACAGCTGTAAAAGGTTCACACATGTTAGATTTATTTAAACATTTATCCTGTTCGTATAAAACAAATGCCCGGGAACCTAAAGGCTGGTGGGGTTTTTTAAATAGTCTGAATGAGCTCAACATTCCTTTATCAGCTTTTCAAAACCTGCACGCTCGTGAACAATATCGCATAATCAAAGAGTGCAAGCCAAATGGAGAAAATATACCCAAAAAAAGAAGAAGAAATAATAAATCATCTCCTACGACCCTCCGATGGGGGGTGGCAGGGACCCCAGACACCGCAGAGGAGGGAGAACCTCCGAGTGCCCTGCTTAAGAAGAAAAGGATAAGGAAGGACAGAATATTAAGTCCTAGCTGGTTATATTTTACCCCCTAAAGTTGTATTATATTTTATTTTCCTAATATAGACAGTCACCTGAATACATTTTGTCTTCAGACCTTTTTATTTTCTACATTTTATAACAATCTTTAAACATTTGTAGAGAACAAACACTGTGGTTAAAATGAGTGTCTTTATGACGTCTCTCACACCGTTGGTATTTTTTCACAAAATTCGTTACAGCAGCATCATATTTTATCACATCATCTTGATACAGAGATAACACATTTTCGTAAGACAACCCAGACGCTCTTTTGCATAGATAAAAAACACAGTGCTGACCACATGCTGTAGACATGACATTCTGAAGTTGCCGGTTATGGTATAAAATAGTTTTACATTGTTTTTCTAGAAAATGTAGGATGCTTTTCGGGTAATGACTAAAATCGGGAGGAAATCCGAAAGAATCAAAAAAAGTTCCAACCCCTTTCCTCTTCCTCTAAAGTCACTGCTAGCCAGTGTTCTCCGGGCATGTGGGAGGGGTGGGTGTTTACAATCATGTATACAGGGCATCTAAATAATTGTTTTACTCGGGGTAGCTGATCTGAGGCCCGCCCCACACCCCACCGAAAGAGTCCCCCACCATGTGACGCAGGAGACTGTCCAATTGATGATTATTCATATTGTAGTCTTCTTAGTAATAATCTACCAACACTTGACGTTTTGAATTAATCTCCAGAATCGAATCAAAACAAGAATACACGATTAAAGTGGTCGTCTGGGGTAGTGGTACTCTGAACCTCATTTCCAGTCTTAAACTACCGCTTGTAATGGGAGACAGTGCGTCCGCATCTTCAGCAGCAGTTAGATTAAACACGAATAGTGAGTATCCTTGTTCGAAATCATCTCTGTCAATACTCAGAGGTAAGTCTTTCATGTGTCTCCCTGTAGCAGTGAACATGTTGTAAAACTCTCTGACTGACGACCCTCGGTTAAATTGAGGTTGGAATGCTTTGGCCGGTACTTGTCTGCCATCCTGACATAGAGCCAGATATTCCATATCATTATGAAGGAAATTAAAAGGTGAAAGCTCTCTCCTTCCGGTGAAGGCTTCGTGATTTACCATACCCAATACTATGTATTTAGGCATATTACCCAGAAAGAGATTTTCTTGGTTACATATTCTGGAATTCACAGGGATACTATAGGTTTTGATGTTTACCCGAGATAAAGGGTAGAGGGCGTTACCTCTCATCAGAGCCGCAGCATGACCTAAACGCACGCCAGGTGAGATGGTGGCCTTCTTGATAAAAAGTGAAGCCCCCAGTATTTGTATACGGTATGTAGAGTCATTTGCACACATGAGCGTAAAGGCATCGTTAGATCTAGTGAGTTTGATTCTCACATCTACAGGAGAAGCCTCTCGCTGAAACATATATCTGTGTGTAGGGCCCCCATCAGATGAAGCTCTCGAGATTATGCTGTGAATATAGCTCTCTTTACTAGACCCTTGTTTGGTCCATTGGCAGAGTCCATAGCCCCCGCAGTGTCTTTATAAAATAAGCCGGCAGTGAACTGAGTTTTTAAAGTAGAATCAGAGTAATTCAATAGCGTTTCAATCATAGCTCTGTAAGGATGAGTCGAACTGGATTGAGAAATTAGCCTGTCCCCTAGAATAACGTCGCATTGACTAAAAATGGTATTCAGAGGATAATTAACCAGGGCCACAGGGGCATCAGCTACCAGATTAGTCCCATCGGCGTTGGTTATTTTGATCCTGAGATGCATCAAGGTGTCATTCATATCTAGGTATTTATCCCCGTCCCCGGGAATAAAAAATTCAATGGGTCCGTCCTCCGTAATGGCAGACAACGGAAGGACCTCTGTGTAGTGTTTTTCATCGATAGAAAGCTGCGTCATGGGGGCAGAAAATAAATCCAGCTCTGCCATGCTGCATTCAGCAGATTTGTGATGTAAAAGAGCCATATTTAACACTCTAAAATATATCTCTCCCCAATGCGTTCCTTCTCCGAGGGTGTTTTTTCCCTAATGATTTTCTTTTGACTGAGTGCTTTCCTTTTTTAACACCTACCGGAACCCGTTTGCCTGGAGGTCTCTTCCTGGCCCTTCTTGCCAGAACCATCAGACCACCTACTCCTTCTTGAGATCCGGCGTCTGACTGGCGGCCAAATTTATGGACAGCCTTACTGATAACATCTGATGCAATATTTTTGGCCGCCGATTTCAGATGAAGTTTAGCTATGGCGAACCCTTTTCTCACCAGGGGTGCGACAAAACGAAATAATCTCGAAAATATAGAGCCAATGCCTCGCCCGTACATCACTGGGGCACCATAAAAACCCGGCAGGGATCCTCCCGCTTGATTTTCATAGTGACTCTCAAAACGTTGGGGGTCGTGATGAATCATCGTTTTGTAAAAGATTGCCCTGCTTTTGAAGGTCTGAAATGAAGTTTCACTACACTCTTCCCGTAGGTGAACTTTACTGGTTTGTTCTGATCATTTTGTATCTCTATCTGTATATTCTCGATGTGCGTTTTTGTTACCGGTAAGTAATACGCAGGATTAAAATACTGAGTTACGGTATCGCCGAATGTTCCTCTTATATCTACGGTTCTCAAGAGAGGAGCAAAAGCGTCACCTACCCGCTGGTGACTGACCACATTACTATAGCAGTATAGATGAGTTGCGCCTGCATTTATATCCGCTGGGTAGACTGCTGATTTATCATCAAATTTGAGCCACTGGTCTGGTTTTATTCCAAGCATATAAGCGACGGGTTTTGGAAAGCGGAAACGATATAGGCCCCCTCCTAGAAATTCAATTTTCCTGTGAATTGGACTATAGTACAAACTGACATCAGAGTCAATTTTTCTGAAGCAGGACTCTAGTTCCTCCATGAGCTGAGTTATGCTACTATAGTAACCAGCTCTAAACAGATGAAGCTTTAACTTGTTAGATATGTCGGGGAGTTTTGGTTTCTTTATCCATTCAAAACAGGCTACTTCCAAAGGTATATTGTGGCCAGGTGTGCGGGTATGACATTTCTGTCATGGCGACTTGCCACGAACCATCCAAGTGTAAAGGCTGGGCCAGGTTCACCTGATAACTAGAGCTTGTATTGTTTTGAAATACATCAAGGCTGGCATTGGACGGCAGCGTAATGTAGAACCCTTCATTTATCTCCATGGCTGTAATGAAGGACTGAGCGTTGATTCTGTTTGCTTTTATACATCTTTGATTTCCCCTGCATCAACCCAGCTGTTGAATTTTTCGGGCCAATTATGCCAAGATACGAACATTTGTTTTTTCCCTCTCACCACCCGCCTTTTTAGAATTTTCTCGACTTGAAAAGCCTTGTCCTTGGATATCTTCACTTTTTGTAACTCTTTCTCATAAAAAGTCCCCTTGATCTCTTCTCCATCATAA